TGTGACTGCTGGTTTGAGAAAGATGTAAGAGGTTCTGTCTCTGGGTGCCTCTGAGGCAATGGGACATGCATGGGTGTTCCAAGGTCCTTTTCCTAATGCAGTGTTTTGCTATTTGATGCATACATATTTCCCCTAAATCAGAGTTGTCAGCTGCCCTAATTTAAATTATTTTTCCTGATGTTACCTGATAGTTACCTCCCATTTTTCTGTTTTCTGAATAGCTACTTACATCTTTTTGCCAAATACCTGGAACTGGGCAAGGCATTTCAAGCCAGAAAGGCTTTTCCTGAGCTAGAACACTTTCTGTAATATTTTCCCATGCTCCCTTTTCCAGCTGATTATTGAAAAATTACTATTTGATTTTCAACACAAGCTTTGGCAGTCCAGAATGAATGTAAAGTTAGTGGGCATAGGCCGCAAAGCCACTAAGTGTTTCTGACATTCCACTCAGGCAGTGCTATAGACACAGGTAAAAGGAAGACAGCTCTGCTGTTGACACGTTCAATCAGAAAAGCTTTTGGACATAGAATATCTAACATCATGGCCAAGGTATTTCTTCACTCTGTATAGTTTGAGAATATTTTTTTCTTCTCCAGGTTGAACATTTTGAAATCCCTAACCAGTTTAATGTCCTTATTATCACTAGACTTAAGAGCTGTTACTACATCTTTCTTGTCCTCCACAAAAAAATTGTTTTGAAGGCACCATGCTATTCCTGTAGCTGCCTGGAGGTTGGTTACACTGACACTGATCATTAGCTTCCTGCTAACAAGTATTAAAACACTGGCCTCCATCAGCTGTGTCCTGTGGGTGTTTTGTTTCAGAGTCATCCCCAACATAGTCATCAGGGCATAAATGCTGCCCTTTGGTCTCTATTTCCCAGAACTTCCTTCTGCACGGGGAGACCCCCAGGAATTCTGTTAAAATGGCTCTGTAGCTGTTTGATATCAGCAGACAGATGTAATTTAGCCCTACATTCATGGATTATACTACTGCAGATTACAGATTGAAGACCACAGGGATGCGTAGCAAACCAGTTTTGGTACTGGTAGGGGTTTTATCAAGTAACATGGCAGCCCACATGGACTCATTTCCTCCAGAATTGAGGCAAAGAGGCCACGTTGTGCTCTGTAACACTGGATAAACTATGCCTGATCCCCTCTTGGGCTTTTCTGGAGCTAGCACAGCATATCTCCATGCAGATCTGCAGCCTGCAGAATTTGAAGCTGAAAGGGATGACTATAATAAAGTGTGAATCTGCTCTTACCTAGCACTGCCGGGGTAATATGCTCAGTAAAATTTCCCAGCCCAAGGCCAAAAACATGATACTTCTCTCTTTCCTTCCCTCCTTCTTTTATGGACTTAATAGAAATTGCCTCCAGCAATTCCACGTACATTAGAGAAGGAAGAAAACACAACAGGCAGTGCATTGCTTGAGCATTATGGCACTCCAGGTATGCATGCTCAGACATGGGGAGCTAAAAAGAGGATGACAGGCATGACTGCAAAAAGGCTGCCAGAAATTACACTTCTCATGATTAGTGTGAATCCCTATTGTGAGGCAAAAAATGATGCAAAACAGAGAGAGAAGAAAGAATAGGGAGAATAGAGCTGGTTTATGCAGATTTTTATTTGCAGTTAGTGACACTGGGATAATGTGATGGAGAAAGTCAGTGGACCAGATAATCAAAATTCAGAGGACAAAAAAAAATTCTTAATAATAAACCTAATTAATAATCCATTTATTTTGCCTGTCACGTAGAAAAATGGCAGACAAATTATTCTAACTCTGAAAACAGAAGAAATTTTGGTACTGAATGCAAGCCAAAACAGCTCTAAGCTACGCTGCTATAAATTCCAAAACACCTCTGGAGAGATGATCCCATGTACTTCTGGTTTATATTAATGCAAATTTGACCACAGGCAAAATGCCAGCTTGAATTCAATGGTTTTGAAAAGCAGCCATCCAAAAAAAGTTGCCATTGGAATTCAAAGCAATTTGATAAAATAAGATGCTATCCACTGATCTCTTTAAATGATTTAAGGTAAAATATATCACTGTAGAAAGCAAGATCTGTTCTTAATGGATATCAAGAACCTCCTCCATTGTCTCCCAACAAATGAAACAGATGGTTTCTGGTTTAAAATCAGTGTTTCTCTAATGAAGTGAATGGGTAAATCCCTGTTTGCAACAGCTAAGAGCCTAGACAGATTGCATATCTTGCTGTCTGTCTTTGAACACAAATATGATGGCTACTATGCTGACCACCTGAATATAGTAGTACCATTTATATTTTATATACTGGTGTGTTCATAGCATTTGAAAAGAGCGGAGAAGTTTTTTCCCATTTGCAAACTAAGCAACTAGTACAAGGTCATAGACCAAATCTAGGTCCTGTTCCATTTTTCACATTACACCCCTTTCAAAGGCTCCATGTACAAGGCAGTCTATGAAGTATATCTGCTGGAACATGATTTTTAATTTGGAGCAATCTGTTACACTATCACATTTTAGTTTCAGCTTATTTTGAATGGTCATCTCAGCTGTGGGGTGCATGGTCAGGCAACCTTTCAATTTTTATCAACTCTCCCCCTGCCCTAATGGGCAAGCCTAAAGAAAGTCCCTTAACTTCCTTGCACTTGGGCTTCTTTTCCCATGTCTTTCTAGAGTAAAATGATTGTAAGATGTTTACACTGTTATTCTCTGTTGATACATCCTTCATTCAGTACCAGAAACGGGATTGTGATTTAAATTTGGACCTTTAAGTGTGACATTAATGATGATAGGCAGTAGGTCCTTGTCCTGGTTATGCACTGAGGAGATGGGAGCTTTGCAGTATGATTCGGTATATGAATCAGGACTTATAATATTCCACTGAATAAATTAGCAATTGTTACTGACCTTGATCTCTTCACAAATTTCCCTGTAACATCCATGATTATGTGTAAGAAAGTAAATGCCTTTTATCTCCTTTTTTTCCAATTTTCACTTTAAAAGCTGAAGCTGGACTAGATGATCTCTATGGTCTCTTCCAACTCTAAAAATTCAGTGAAATTCAGAGAAATTCAGTGAAAGCTGACCTGATCCAGCAGCCCTCTCAATTGGCTAAAAAGCCTTCATCCTAGCAGTACATTCTCATTTTCCCTCCTGTTCTTGGAAGCTTTGTTTCTATCCTCCAAAGCTCAGAGAGCAGCAGTGCTCCTCTGGGATATATTGAATGTTAGAAAAAGTGCAGCTCTTGGGAGCCTGAGCAGCCAAACATCCTGGTGAGGGAAAAGGAGAGATCTTAACTGGACTCTGGGTCCAGTCCGGAAGGACTCCCAACTTCACTGTGAGTTGTGTAGAGGTGGGAAAATTCCCCCTCTGTGGGAAATTTATACATTGTTTTAAGCTCTTTATGAGGTGTTTTTACAGTAGCTAGTAGGACAACAGAGCTGACCTTATTGAGGGAGGACTTTGAAGGCTGAAGGGAGCAGGTATGTCCACACTACGTAGTGAAGGACAACTGCCTCATGTCCTCCCTCACTAACTCTAGACCTGCAAGCAGTCTTGCAGCGTTAATATGGCTGAATACAGGAGCCGAGCAGGGCTGCTCGTTCACCTCATTAAACAGCCAGACTGCTTCTGGGGTCAGAGGTGCCTCTGAATAATGTGGCAGTGCACCATGCACAGGCAGCAGCTGGTGCAGGGGTACCATGGGCTTCTCTGACGTGGCACTGCATCGCCATGTGCATGAAAACGCTGCCTCTGCAAACACTGAAACTGGTCCTAGAGCTAGAACAGTGTGAGCACATCATCCAGTGACAGTCAGTCAGTCAGTGCCTACCATTCAGCATAGGTAACATTTGCCTGTATCCTGGAAAATCTAGTGATATTTGGAATAGTTTGAACTTGTGCTAACAGAAGCGCTGAAATGATAAGAGGTTTTTTTACAATGATTTTCAGAATAGAGAATAAGTGAAAGACCCTTTGCTCAGGGCTGTGGTGGTGTCAGGGTCCATTTTCTTCTTGGAGACAATAATAAAGTAGCCCCAGAAAAGCTTTCTAACTCTATGGTACTACTATAGTTGCATGGATTTCAGTTGCTGATGCTTAAAAAGTTCAGAGGATTTTTTTCTTCCTGCTACTTAATTCCTAGAAAAGTAAGCTTGAAAGGGTTTTATCAGAATAGAATCCTTTCCTTTTAAGTTGTATATATGTGTGTGTATAAATATAACTTTATTTCCCTGTAGTCATTTGTGGAAGGATTAAAATTCATATTGGATTCCTTGTTTTCTTGTGCATTTTGATTTGTTATGATATTGTTATTTATCAGAAGTCACAATGCTTTTTTGATGTAAAAACTGAAAGATGTTTGACATTCATTTTTATACGAATAATGTTTATTTCTTCAAAAATAGATACTAACTACTTTAGAACACCAAAGTAAAAATATTTTTCCTGTATAATCATTTACAATATATCTTTTCTTGTATTGCATATAAATTATAATGAGTCTGGGCCTTTAAATGCTTGAAATTAAGTTATAATTCTCACAGTTGTCACTGTCTTCTGCATTGTCTATTACATCTTGGTGAAAAGGAATAGTAAAATCCACCAATATTAGTTTAATAGAACAGTGCAAGACCTGCATGCCCTCTGGTGGAAGCGAACCTTAACAGACTAATATAGGTAGATCAGCTTTTGTGGCCGTGTTAAATGTCTGACCTGCAGACAGACACACTTTCCTTTGATATACTTAGATACTCAATTAAGTTATGTTTCTCCATGGTAGAGGTTATTAGATAGTAGGAAGGAAAACTCTTCCAGTGCATTATTTTTTTCACACTTTTCATTACAGCTTGAACTCTTTCATTTCTCTTCAACCTCTTTCTTGACTTTTTAAACTTATTACTCTACTGTAATAAAAAGAAAATGAGTTCTATGTTGTGTAAAGGTATTGAACAGTGTCTCATTATTGACACAGGTTTTATACATAGAATTTTGCTCTGCTTTTAAGGAAGTTTACAGGTCCGATACAAGCTGAGTAAGGATGGACTCCTCATTTTCACCATTGATTCCGGAAATTTTGCCAATCGAGAGCTTCACCACGTGAAGATTAATAGAGAAGGCAGAGAGCTCATCATTCAGGTATGCCATGGCTTATGTTGAATGTTAAATAATACTTCATGCCACAAACAGACCCACTGATTTCAATGCCTAATCACTAGTAGAAGGAAACAGTTTCACATTGATTTGGTGCAGAACAGCCCTGTAGGTTAGACCAAAGCTCCATCCAGATCCTGCTTCAAAGAGTACCAAACTGTGATGTTTTCTCCTGAGTGATTCCTTCCCTTGTCTCTAACAATCTGTGAATTAAGAAGCACCTTTGTTTGGAAGCTTGTCTGGATCATTGGAGTGGTTCTGGGGCTTAGGGATGTCTGTGTGACCTGTAGTCCCAGAGAAAGCACACAGTATGGATCATTAAAAAGCTACCAAAGGTAGGAAAACAGCTGAAGAATGAGTACCTGGGAATGTAGTTTCATTTAGGGTATGTGCCCGAAGGGAGAGTGTGATCCCAGCTGCTTTATCCTCTCACAGAAAAGTAAAGCCTGAGGGAACACAGGGTGCAGCCACCACGTGCATGACAATACCCTGTCCCTTTGCTAGAAGCCACACTAAATGTGCCAACCTTATGAGAGACAAGAACCCTTCTCTGCCTTGTTTCCCTGCATTGCCCGTTTTTCCAAGGTAGGGAGAAGAGTGCTCCTTCTGCTTTCCCTCTGAGGCTAATAGCAGCTGATAGCAGTTCATGTTACAAAGCAAATTGGCTAGATCTGGGTGGCAGTCATTCAACAGGGAGAAGCGGCAGAGTCTAGAGAGAAGCAATGTATTAAGGAATAGAATGAGAAGGAGACAAACACAGGCAGCATCACAGTTTTCCTTTCCTCTACAGTTTCCACCCATGTCTGGGTGGTAAAATGATAACACAGTGCACAACTAGGGTGGGCAGACCTGCTTATCTAGGGAGAAGGCTATGCTAAAAGTCAGGGCTTCTCTCAAGTACCCATTTCTGTCTGCTGCAGTGGTGTTTTTTTCTATGCAGAACTAATTCTTCACAATACATTTCTAGAGAGGCCTCCTTTGAGTATATTCTGAAGTGACTAGACATGGATTTTAGGAAGCAGGGGGATTTCAGTGTCAAACATTTTAAGCTTTTCTGCAGGGGAATTTTCTTCAAAGCCCTGTATATGACTATTCTGGTTTACCTTTCAACTACTCATGCTAAAATCAAAGCACATTCACTTTGCTATCTTTAGAAACTGAATCACGCTTGGGGGCAGAATTAACTGATTTGCAGCTGAGAGCGTTCCCAGAAGTTTGCAGTCCAGAGATATCTAGGGGTGTCTACATGCTGTTGTAATGAACTAATTTTATTGATGTCTTCCAGGTTGATCAAGTTCTCAAACTCAAACACAACTTTTCTGAGATTGATTTTAAGGCCATCAAATCACTCACCTTGGGCAAGGTCACAGGTAGGTTCTCCTAAAAATATTCCTGATTCATCAGTTCTTATAGTGCTGGAGTTAATCTGTGCTGTGTGTTGGGTTTTTAATAGGACTGGGGTTTTGTTTGGCTGGTTTAGCTGTAAGAGTTGGCCTCAGCATTCCACTACTCCTATTTGTATGTCTCATCAATGCAAAAATTTAGCAGCTTTACTTGTTTGCACCGATAGCAATATTAACTTCTCCCAGTGCTGCCTCCAGTAAAGTGAGTCATACTGACTATGTGGCTGCTCAGGGTGGCATCTTAGCCTAATGATATCATTTTGCTGACTACAGCTTGCTCCTCTCAAGCCATCCTGTTTCCTAATGATAAGAAGAACAGCACTGTGAGCCTTCATCCTCTCTACCCTTTTTTCACTCCCAGTCCTTTTCTATTTGAATTCTACAAGGCATATTTATATTACATACAACATTGAGGCCACAATTCTGCATGCTCTGTACATGGACCTTCTTCATCTTTACCCCTTCACACTATAAAGCCATTACAGGACCAGGAAAACTCTGCCTGAGATTTGGAAAGTAAAACTCCTCTGTTTTGTTGTAAAATGTGCCCTATTACTTTATATAAGTGTCTTATTCATTCCCAGTAAGATTCTAATTGCTTCTTTGGTTATAAACATTTTAGCCCTTTGCTAGAACTGAACCTCAGTATCAAGCCTGACAATTCTTTCACTATTGAAATTTTATGTTTCGTTAATAACACCCAAGGCCTGAGGGACTAGTAGCTAGACAGAAACTCAAGACATCCTCTAGTGTCTACTTGTGCCGTGTAATTGTATATAATGATATTAGTGTATTCTGCATCATGTTTTACTAAGTAGATTAAGGGCAGAAACTGATTTTCCCCTTAATTACATTTAGTATTTGTTCAAAATACAGCAGTCCTTTGTGGACAGGTTTGGGGACACTTTTCAGCTCAAGTCAGAGGTAAGCTAAAAAATCTCATTTTGTCCGTGGTCAGCTGTAGTGCTGAAAATCTAAAAGAACATTGCTCATCATGACCTTTACCTAAAGCTTCAGCTATAGATACCAAATCAATTAACCTAAGGCTTTCCTAACCAGCAAGATGGAACATAGCACAAAGACCTTCAAACATGTAGCCAGTACACTAACAAGGTGCAGCTCAGCATCATGGAGATAAACTAGATTTAGTCACAAAAATATGATTAATTTTACAAGTACAAGGTTGTTGCAAAGCCAAAAAGCCCGGACGCATCTGCAGAGGTGGAGTAGAACAGAGCACCAGACAGGTCTTAATGCATATATCTCTGCTATTTCTCTCTTGCCCCAAAGTTTATTGGGATTTTGTTTTAGAAATAATAATAGAAATAGTTCATATTCTGTAATGACACTAAAGCCATTTACTTGGCCATCCAGATGGTAGGAGATCTTATTGCTGTACCAGGAATCACACAATTCATCCCAGCAAGTCACTTTAATTTCAGCCTAATCTTAACTCTGGTTTCTTCTTTGCATGTTAAGCAAATTTCCTCAAAGATTTTCTTCTTTGTCAGGATTTAATTTTCCAGGTATTATCCCACAGGTGTAGCTATGCTGAGTAGAGTCCTCGTGCCCTTACAGAATCACAAATCCCCCTGAGTCTTCTGTTCAGGATGAACAGCCCCAGCTTTATCAAGCCCATCCTCATATGAAAGGCACTCCAGTCCCTTAATCATCTTTGCAGCTCTTCACTAGGCTCAGTCCAGTAAGTCCATGCCTGTAGAGAGCCCAGCACTTGACCCAGCTCTCCACTATTGTTACAGTCATGCAGAGTATGGGAGAAGGATCACCACCTTGTGTCTACCGGCAATGCTCTTCCCCAGACAACCCCGGATGCCACAATGTCATTGACTGCATTTGCTACAAGGGCATCTTTCTGGCTAATGGTCAGTTTGTTGACCATCAGTACCATCATGTCTGTCTTTGAAAAGCTGCTTTCCAGCTGATCAGCCCCAAACAATGTTAGTGGATGGGATTATTCCTAATGCAAGTGCAGATCTTTACATTTCCTTTGTTGAATTCCATGAGGCTCCTGTTTTACCATTTCTTCAGCTTGTCAGTGTCCCTCTGAATGGTGACACAACCATCTGGTCTACCAACTTTCTTCCCAGCTTTGCATCATCTGCAAACTTACTCAGGTTGTACACTGTCCCAGGTTGGCAAAAAAAAAACCCAAACCAAAATATCCCTACTGCTACATAGTCAAGAGTATTGCCTTGCTGTATCAAGAGAAGAGCTGGACTTTGTCATTTTAGGAAGGTAGAACTTAGATATGTCCATTCATCATTTATACTAGTATGCAGGTAAAATGTCAACTATAGCTTATTTTAATGATGGTTCACCAGAAGGTGAATACTGGTGACCTAAACCAATATCCTCCAAGTTCTTCCTTGTCATTGTTCATCCCCTTGTCAAAATTCCAGACACTTGTGATGCTTTGAATTAGACCTAGACTTCCTGTTTTGGATGCCACTGAGATTTAGGTACCTAAAACCACTCATTAGAAACATTTCAGTGTCCACTGAAATAGAACCAAATAAAAAAAATCTGTTCTACGCGTCCAACATAGCCATGCTTTACTCTTCTGAAAATCTGTCTTCTTTCCTGTCACACCACTGCTCATTTGCCTGCTCTAACAGCCTGAGCCTGGCTGCTTAACCAGATGATTATACCATGTTCTTTCTGAACTCCAGCATGTGTTTCCCACTGGCTGAGAACCTCATGAAAGCTTCAAACCTCTTCCTCACCAGATTTTCTTATGATAACCATTTTAGCATAACTGGAACTTTTGAATAGTAGACTGTTATACAATGACCAGTATTTAAATAATAGCGCTTCCCCCCTTCGTTTCCCCTGCCTCGACCCTGCCCCCTTACACTTTCTTTAGTAGAAAGCTATTTAAACATTGGTATTTTTTCTGCTTTTCAAATCTGCTACATTTTTCAATGAGTGCCCTACACTCAACTCTGAATTCCAGGGAAAAAAAAAACTGTGTATAAGGCAAAGGAGGCTCACCTGGAACTGAAAACATAGGGACACTCACTCTGCCACAGGTTGCTTGAATGACCTTGGGAAAGCCATTTATGTGCAGATATAAAGGTAAGCAGGCATTTTATTCCCACTGGAACCAGTCTGAGCTTTACTATCTCTGTTCTCTATCAGTAAAGCACGGATAATAGAACATCCCTACATCAGAGGGGGGCTAGGAGGATAAAAACATTAAAGGCTGTGAGCTGTTCAGATCCACAGTAATGGGGCCATATAGCTGCCTTAGAAAGATCAATCTAAATATAAGTGTGGCTTTGAAGACAAGGGAGTAAAAAGAAGCAGCATTCAAGTAGCCAACAGACGTTTGTTGAATTCATCCTCACAGTATCCAACAGCATTATAAAGTATTATTACCCTGTAGTTTGTTGTCATTTTTACTTCACAAATACAGAGGCAAGACACAAAAGGACCCATCCAGAGCTCATCAGTATCAGTGGGAGTTTTTCCATAGACTTTTTTGAGTACTGGATTCAGGCCCCAAGTGGGTCATACAGTTTATGGCAAAGCCTCAGTGAAATCTTAACTGGAGTCCCAGTTCATTTACTTTAAGTACTCCTTGCAGAGATCATACTTCTGTATTTAACCACATGAGCTCTATTGGCAATCTGACCTGTGAGCTGGCTGTGCTTTGAACAACGGATTGAACTGCGTGACCTTCAGAGGTGTCTTTCAACTGAAATTATTCTGTAATTCTCTGATCTCAGAGACACATTTGCATATGTTTAGGTCTTGTCTAGAAAAAAGCTGCTATCCCAGTGGAAAATATCTTTTATTTGTTTTGGGGTTGACCTTAATGAATCTTTGAAAACTTCTTACTGTGCCCCAACATGTCTAAATCTTCCACCATTATAGTCCTTGGAAAAATAATCGCTGGTGGAGAGAAGTGAGTCTCATTGCAGATTTGCTTCTGAGTGTTTTAATATACTAGCTGTGTAGTGATAACAGAGTAAAAGGGTAACATTGAAAGGGATACAAGAGTATTGTGAAGAAAAGGGTTGCAAAGATTTCTTTAGCACCTGTTAATATTGACCTAATTTATTTGTGTCTTCAAAGGGATGAATTAGCAAACCTTCCCATATTGACAATGTAAAGAACTGTGTAGTCTAGCACATGATCATGATAGCTTTTATCTCTAAAAGCCTGAGCTAAAACACACTCAAATTGTAGGAGTCTTTCCACTGAATCATTCAGCTTTGATAGAAAGTGTAGGTAGAAGAAAGTTTATCTGGAAAATAATTTTATTAAAATCATTATGTAGTTGCAGAACAATTCTTATGATTTCTACAATAGCCTTTCTTATTAAAAGTTCACAAGAAGAAAATGGAACCTGTACATTGAAGAGATCACAGAGGAATTAATCCAAGAGTGATATTATATTGGGGCAGATGATAACAGGATAATTAAATCAGAAGGCGTAAGTTGACATTAACTCTGAGATACAAAAGCTTCCCTAAATAATCATCTCCTTTAAGAGACTTTCTATGGAAAAGACCTAAGTCAGTTTTTTTGATGGAAAGTCATTCCCTTTTTTAAGCTCCCAAGATCACAATTTCCTTGAGAAATTTAAAGTCACAGTCTCAGAATATTGTGCTCTAGCATTTCAAACAATAGAGCAACGGCTGCAAGAGATAGTGGCTGGACTTATCTGGTCACTGCAAAGGTCTTTTCTTTACTGCATGCTCTTCTCACTCTAAATACTTATTTCTTAGACCATACGCCAGGAAAAGATCTCTTGGGTGCATTATAGGGCACCTTTAAAAATAATTATTTTTCCTCCTCGTAGCCTAGTAAAGCAGTAAGGAAAATGGAAATGACTACTTAGGATAAAAGAGGAGAGGCATTTGGGACCACAATGGCAGAAGTTAAAATAAGCAAAGTTTGGCTACCTCAGGCACTTCAAGTAATCCAAGGTCTAAGCCAAT